TATTTAGCTTGCAGGCTTCATTGTCGCATGAATGTACTAGTTGGAAATATTCATTGCATATTACTAGTTTAATTCGAAATAGCGCCAGGCGGTAGTTTCGTGTGGTCCCTACCAGTCAGGTGGGTCTTACCCTTCAGCTGCTTGCTATTGCAGTCCACACGTAGGACCTGATAGTTATTAATTGGGCAAAAAATACATGAATCACACTGTAGCCTTTATATTGGTGCTCTATATTCGCGAGATGCGGTGAGTCATATTCGCTATTAGGAATACACTGCTATGTACTACTCCTACTGATGATAATAACAATTATTTTGTAATTGTTATTATTATTAACACTCGCGGTCTCTGCTACGCGGCCACACCTCAGGTGCTCCCACAGTCACTGTGTAATAGTGTATCATGATCGAGTGAATTAGAACATGTCTGTTGTTATTTACTCCTAGTAGCATCATGACCGCTGTTAGCGCTAGTGCTACCATGCTACTGTTATTATCACGTTCCCTGTAAGGGAATAAGGATGTAGGAGATGTAACTGTGTATATCTTGTATATATGTAGATGTATTGTAATGTATATGTGTGAATCTTGCGTCTGTTCCAGGTTCCAGGGAGTCAGGATTGAACCGAGTCTGTGTACCGAATACAAACCAGTACGCTTACGAGGGGTATGTATTCCTAGCCCGCCTGTCTACCAGCCACCTATCCCCGTCTCCTAGATAACTTACCTTGCCTTAGCCACCCCGCCAGCACATCACATAGAAATGAAAACGCGTAAAAACAACGTTATAGAGCCGGCAAGATCACGCACGAAAGACATAAACTACAATCATGAACATTTAGGAATAATGTTAGAAGTAATGTAGCGCTACAATGCGTAAGTGTGTAGCGATAGGTTACAGTTAGACGCGTAATTTCCCGCAATAAATCAGTTAATTATTGATTAGAATTCTATGTTACTTGAGAGCCCTCTCGGCTGTTTATGCGGCGCTTTGAGTCAAACTAGAAAATCGATCACACGTGACCTACACCCTCTCTTACATCGTAGAATGTCAGAGATATGGCGTTCCATGGTCATTCTAAGGTCACGAGCCACATCGCAATTCCAACCATGTATTTCCGATACGGGCTAAAATATCCCATCTCGGGTAACCGACGTCGTTTGAACGGAACTGGGTATAAACCTCGCCCTGTTACGTTTTACATTATATACGTATATTTCCGTTTTACGTTACATACGTTTATTTACGTTTTACGTTACATATGTTTATTTACGTTTTACGTTACATATGTTTATTTATGCTATAACGCGGGTTATAACGTTAGTAAGTTCTTACCGTGTGAACGGGGCTGTAGTCGTGCGGCAGGGCGTGCAGCCGTTGCTGCTACCAGAATTTCCTCAGCTGCAGGACCGTTGCCGCAGCATCCGCTACCGGTTGCCCCTGGTAACGAGCCATCTTTCTCATCGCGGTGCTGTGTCGTGTGTTGTTGCAGGTCGAATCCTATCTGGATGGAGCAGTACGATCACGTGTATGCAAACAATGTGAAGGAGGATGAGGACGATACGAACAGGTGAGTGTGATTTAATGCCTATGCTATATGCTGCCATGGGTATGGCATATATATATATAATTTATATACTGCCATAGCACCACTATCCCGGCAGAATCCAAAAGCACTACCACCTTTTTCCTCGGCCTTCAAGCGTCCGTCCGTCCACTGAACCTGTCGAACCTTCGCGGAGCAGAGCTCTCACAGCAAATATATTACACACACGCACGCACGCACGCGGACGCGCACGCGCACGCGCACGCGCACGCACACGCACGCACGCGCACACGCACGCACGCACGCACGCGCACGCGCACGCGCACGCGCACG